AAACTTAAAAAAATAAAATAAAAAATAAACCCACTTGTGACTGGTAAACGCTAAGCATGAGGCTCCTCTCTTGCCCAACTCCCCACCCACCCTACAACCTCATTATCCCACAGAAAGCCAAACGCCTTGAAGAAACCATGAACTGCCCTTAGGAGGGTCAGCTGGAAATGCGTCCTGCAGGCAGAGCCTGGAAACTTTCATTTTCTCTCCGGAGGATGCCACAAGCACACACATCCACACCTCACATTCCACACACACCTCCCCCTCTTGACATTATAGCAAGAAAGAGAGCGAGGGAAAGAGAGAGGCTGTTACCCAAGGGAGTTGTTTCTTCTTGTCACACAGGAACAGATGCCCAAATCTTAGGACGGCCCAGAAATGTGGCAGCAGGACAGTGAGTCAGAGGAAACAGAAGGGCCTCACCTCCAACATAGACCAAGGCCCCAGAGGGGAGCCCGTTTGAATCAGTTCTGGCTGTAGCTGCTTAGAGCTGTGCACAGCACACCCCCCCCACCTCCCACCACCAGTCTCCAAAGGCACCCCCACCCTGAAGGGAGCCAAGAGCAGGGAAACATGAGGCTGCAGTCTTCTGGAACACAGCTTTGGCTTCCTCATTCCAGGGAGGCTCTCCCGCCGCTTCTCATCGGCGACATTTGCAAGCTTCTTAGGTGCCACCAGGCTTATACTGTGAAGTCCCCTTGGGACAATGCTCTTGGGGACCCTGACCCGTCACTGGGCTCACTGGCTGGTAGTGTTACCTAGAGCCACATTAAAGGGGCACCCTGGGCTGGGGGCCCGGAGGACAGAAAGGAACCCGGAGGTCTCTGTTGAGGGGATTTAGAGAAAGAATCATCACTGGGAAGAATCTCTTCCCAGAAGAGTTCAGCTTAAGGCCCCTGAATTTACTTTTTCACTGCAGCATGCAGACTGTAAAGAGATGCCGGTGATGATGAGGATGGCAACAACCAAGGTGGCAGACAGGGTAGTGAGGAGAGGTTTGTGGCTCCTAAGCTTCCTTCCAGGGCCTAGTCTCTCATCCCAGCCTCTATGCCCCTCTCCGGTACCTTCTAGTCAACTGTCTGTCCCTACCCTCCCCCCACCCCCACCCCACCCCCATTGCCCTTGGAGCCACACCAGCTCCCTAAGTCCCCTGTCTTCCCTGGCCTTCCTCCCTCCCCTCTTCTGCAAGCTGACCCTCTCCCACTGTGGGTACCATATGCCAAACAGAGGCTAGGAAATGCCCCCCTGGAGGCTTTTCAATGCCGTCCTTGGAAATATGAGCTAAAAATGAACTAGCTGCCAAAAATATTAAGGCACGGAAATAATCAGATCAGTACCTTTTTTTTTTTTATTGCATACCATGCCAGCATGACCGTTAACATAACTTCTGATGATCTGGAATCCAAACAAATAAAACACTGCGTCTTTTCCCCCATTGCACCAAATAGCGTTGATTCATGTTCACTATTATAACTCTGATAGCCTGCGAGGAAGATTCAGATGTGCCTTCTAAATCACCAGAGAAAGAGGTTCGGCAGATGTTTTCCTCAGGTGCCTGCGCGGCTCGCTCTCTACCTCCTTCAACTCTTCGTTCAAATGTGACCTTCTTGAAGATTCTCTCAAATGACCCTAATGAAAGTGGCATTCCGCCCTGCATTTCCCGACCCTTCACACTCCTGATCCCCATTCCTGCTTTATTTTTCTTCATAACATTCATCAGCAACTCACGTAAACGTATTTTATTTGTTTGTGTCTTCTGTTTCCCACAGAAATGTATGCACCTCCTACATGAAACCACTTGAATATAAACTCCACGAAAGCAAAGATTTTGTTTATTTTGTCCACTATTGTATCCCAGGGACTGGAAAAGTACCTGGGACACAGTAAGCACTCAATAAATATTTGTACAGCACAAAATCTGGTTTCATTGATAAGCATGTTTTCATTATTATTTGTTTAAAATAGGTAGTCTGTGGGGGTGCCTGCGTGGCTCAGTTGGTTGAGTGTCGGACTTCAGCTCAGGTAATGGTCTTGCGGTTTGTGAGTTCTAGCCCCGCATAGGACCCTGTGCTGACAGCTCAGAGCCTGGAGCCTGCTTCAGATTCTGTGTCTCCCTCTCTCTCTGATCCTCCCCCACTCACACCCTGTCTCCCTCTCTCTCAAAATAAATAATTCTCTCTCTATCTCTGTCTCTCTCTCAAAAATAAATAATTGTTAAAAAAAAATAATAATAGGGGCGCCTGGGTGGCTTAGTCGGTTGGGCGTCCGACTTTCGCTTAGGTCATGATCTCATGGCTCGTGGGTTCGAGCCCCGTGTCGGGCTCTGTGCTGACTGCCAGCTCAGAGCCTGGAGCCTGTTTCAGAGTCTGTGACTCCCTCTCTCTCTGACCCTCCCCTGCTCACGCTGTCTCTCTCTCTCTCTCTCTCAGAAATAAATAAAAACATTAAAAAAAATTTTTAAATAATAATAATAAAATAAAATTAAGTAGTCTGTGACTACACACTATCTTCCTCGTCTTGAATTCACTTACTCATTGACTTAATGAATGCTTTAAAAACTTTTTAAAAATTTTAGACAGAGAGAGAGCGGGAGCAGGGGGAGAGGGGCAGAGGGAGAAAGAGAGAGAGAGAATCTTAAGCTGGCTCCAAGCTGAGTGCAGAGCCCCACATAGGGCTTTATCCCAAAACCCTGGGAGCATGACCCAAGCTGAAATCAAGAGTCAGACACTCAACCGACTGAGCCACCCAGGTGCCCCAACAAATGCTTATTAAGTACCTGTCACATGGCAGGCCCTGTCCAGGGCCCCAGGGATTCCACAGTGAACAAGACAGACACATTATCTCCATTCTCCTAGGACTCAAAGTCTGGTGGGGAGAAGGACCATACACATTTGTATGTAAGTAAATTCACAAAGGCAATATTTAGAGACTGAGAAAGGTACAATGTAAGAAATCACTAGGGAGGGGCACCTCTCTGGCTCAAGTCGGTAGAACATCCAGCTGTTGATCTCGGGGCCATGAGTTCGAGCCCCGCATTGGACATGGAGCCTATTTAAAGAATAATAATAAATGGGGACACTTGGGTGGCTCAGTCAGTTAAGTGGCCAGCTCTTGTTTTCTGCCCAGGTCATAATCTCACAGGTTTGTGAGTTTGAGCTCTTTGTCAGGCTCCTCTGATAATGTGGAGCCTGCTTGGGACTCTGTCTCTCTGCCCATCCCCCTAAAAAGAATAAATAAACTTAAAAAAAGAAAGAAAGAAAAAGACGAATTTGGTTTTAAAAAAATGTAGGGGCACCTGGGTGGCTCAGTCGGTTAAGCATCTGACTTCAGCTCACATCCTGAGTGGTTCCTGAGTTCGAGTCCTGCTTTGGGTGAGCTCAAGCCCTGTTTAGCGTGAGCAGGAGCCCTGCTTCAGGTGAGCACGAGCTCTGCTTTGAAAACAAGCCCTGCTTTGGGTGAACCTAGTGTATCTCTCTCTCCCCTCCCCCCACAAATGCCCCTTGCTCACCTATGCCCTCTCTCTCAAAAAAAAATAAATAAATAAAAATAAGGGGTACCTGGGTGGATCAGTTGGTTAAGTGTCTGACTCTAGATTTCAGCTCAGGTCATGATCTCACAGTTCATGAGTTCAAGCTCCGCACCAAGCTCCATGCTGGCAGTGCAGAACCTGCTTGGGACACTCTCTCTCTCTCCCTCTCCCCAGCTCTCTCTTTCAAAGTAAAGAAACCTTAAATAAATAAATAAATAAATAAATAAATAAATACCTTTAAAAAATAAAATAAAATATAAAAGCAATAATAAATAAAATCAATAGGGCGCCGAGACAGAGAACACGACAAGAGAGACCTATCAAGTTAGATTCCATGGGTTAGGTTCCCTTTGGCGGTGAAGCTGACACTTGAATAGTGAGAAGCTCTTCCTCAGCAGAGGAAGAGCCCCCCTGGCAGTCATCTGGATGAGTGAGTGTAGTACACAGCGTAAGAGGCCTTGAGGAGAGAAGAATGAACAAGCAATGCTAAGCCCGAAACCTGGTTCCCATCCCCATTCAACTGCAGTCTTTATTAACTGTACCACCCTGACAGGGTCACACAAAACCTGAATCTCCCCACCCCTTAAAATGTGGGTGCTCATTTTAAACCTGCCTCACACGTCGGAGTCACATTAGGTAATGCACGTAACAGTGTTCACGTGCAAAATGCCCGAGTGGCGTTGTTATGGGCAAGTGGGTAAGTGCCACTAACTTTGGAGTGTGAATTTCCCACTGGCCTTAAGTATCCTGAAGTGAACGTCTGAACTCCGGTATATTTAGACCAAAGAAACCAAAGCATGGCAACGCCTGATGCCACTGGTGAAGCATTTGTGGTGCTAGGCATCTGTCCCGCCCCAGACTGCCCTGTGTCTTGAGGGATTATGGGGAGGTGTCTCCGGGACCACGGCTCCCTTCCTGAGAAGTGGGAGGAAGTATTCTGGCCAGAAGGGCCTCCCCAGAACTGTTCCTGTCTGTTTTCACTCCTAGAACCTGTCCCCGAGACCCGAAGGATGACTTGAGATATTTGTCCCCGAGGTATCTCCCAGGGGTCCAGAGAGACCAAACTGGGCTTTGGCCCCAGGACAGGCTGCGCACACCCGTGCAAACCAAACTCACGGGCCAGAGGGGAAGCAGGAGAGGAAAGCAGGGCTGGTCCCGGGACAGCATGGGGCTTCGGAGAGCTCTGGACTTGGCCGAACGGAGAGGAGGGAGGAACGGAGGAGGAGAGAGGGCAGAAGTGGGGGAAGGAGAGGTGGGCTGCGGGGCGCAGCGCGGAGGGGGGCGGGAGGCAGAGTGGGGAGGGCAAGAGACAGGAAAGGACCACGGGGGGAAAAGGGAAGACGAGCACAGCCGGGCACAGGGGGAGGGCGCCGGGCCTGCGGCCGCGGGGACGGCGCGGGCGGTGGCCTCGGGGGGGCGGCCCGGCGGGCAGGGCGGGCTGGCGGGGCGGAGGCGGGGCGGCGGGCGGCGCTGTCAGCGCGAGGCGGCGAGCGGAATGCAGCGGCCGGAGGCCTGGCCACGTCCGCACCCGGGGGAGGGGGCCGCGGCGGCCCAGGCCGGGGGCCCGGCGCCGCCCGCCAGAGCCGGGGAGCCGGCGGGGCTGCGGGTACGGAGCGGGCGGGCGCCGGGGTCCCGGGCGGCGGGAGCTGGGGTGGAGGGTGGGGGCCGCCAACTCACGGCTCGCGCGCCCGCGAACTTGGGGCCCCCGCCGGCCGCCCGGGAAGGGGGCCCGGGCCTGGGCAGGGGATAAAAAGTTCTATGGGCGCGGACCCGCGAGGAGGCCTGGCCTGAGCGCGCGTCGGGTGAAGATCTGGATCAGTTCGGAGCGGTGATGGGCACGGCTTGGGGGGAGGTGGGGGGGACAGAGGTTCCGCCGAGAGGGGTGAGGAGTGGCGGGGCTGCCCGGGACTCGAGATCCCACGGGCCGTGGGCTGATTTGTGTGCTTCTGGAGCGCCCCCTCTCCCCGGGCCAGGGGGCTGGGGGCGCGCTGAGAGCGCGGGTCCAGCCTCGGCCCGGGGTTCGCTGGAAGGAGGAGGCTCGGCGCCGCTGTCCCCCCGGCCCAGGTTCTGTGATACACTCCGACTTGGGCTCTGGAGCAGTCAGTGCATGACAGAACTTGGGCCCGGACGGACCTTCTGCACCCAGTGGGCACAGCGCCCACCCGAGGCCAGCAGTGGAACATCTCTGCCTGGGAGTGGAGCAGGCACTGGAGATGGCCCGTGTAGCATAGGGTTGGGCCAGAACCAGTTGTGGACCTTTGGGGTCGCTGGAGCCTGAGGATGGACCCCTGGGGCCTGCAGATGCCATAGAGCCAATGGCAGGGTGTCTGTCTTGAGTCAGGAGCCCACGGAGCTCTCCCCTGGTGTCAGTTGCAGGAACCTTCCCTCTACACCATCAAGGCTGTTTTCATCCTAGATAATGACGGACACCGCCTCCTGGCCAAGGTAACCTCCCACCCTCACCAGAAGGCCCCTGAACACACGGTGCTCCAGCCCCCAAAACAGAAGTCCCCACCCAGCTGACTCCCAGAAGGGAAGACCCCCCCCCCCCCCGTGGGCTCTGTGACTCAGAGCTGCTTGGCTTAGACCCCTCCAAAGCTCGTTCTGTGCATCCGCCTGCCTTGTCAGACTGCTGGCCCCTGAAGTCTCCCCTTTCTACTCTCATTCCCTGAAATGTCTTCCTACCATTCTTTCCGATGGCCAGCTGGACCTTGGGCATGGAAGGGACCTCCTGAGGGGTCAGTAGAGTGTTGAACTTGGACCCCAGGAGTCTTAGCCTCCAATTCTAAATAGGCAACCTCCACTTTTCTTCTGCAGTTTGGTAAACACTGAGGATTTAGTCTGAGGAGTCTTGAGAATTTAGCCAAGATCTGGGAGACCGTACAATCCAACTCTTTGATTTCACAAATGAAGAAGAGGTGGTCTAGAGAGCTAAATGAGTTGCCTGAGGTCACACGTATGACTATCAGGACACAGATCGGAACTCAGGTATTCTGACTTGAAGCTCAGGAGGGTGATTTTCGCTATACCAATGTCCAGTTATCTGGTATCTGTCCTCCGTGGCCTGGGTGAACCGAGCTAAAATAATCCAAAAAATTAATGTCTTTCGTCAACACAATCGACTGTAGCAGGGCTATGGCTTCTAAACTAGCTATGAAATGCCTTATAGATGTGTTTGTTTGGGACTGAAACTTTTCGTCTCCCTGATATTCAAATAAGCTTGCCCACCACAGCAGTGGCCAGCTGGGAGGCTACTAATTTGCAGGGGGGACTACCAAGTGGCAAAATCCACATCCAGAACATTGAAAGCTCAGCCGAGCACACTTTGCTCCGGCAGATGACCAGAGGTGGATCAGCAATGCCAGAGACTCCGGGGCCTCGTCCCAGCGGGACCCATCCCAGGTTCAGATTAAGAAACTGAGTCAGAGAAACAGGCTCCCCGAACCCAAACAAGAAAACGTTGATTTAGTGATGCAGGGGGTACCAGGAACTTTCCCTTAGAGAGTCTTCACCATAACCCTGTCTGCAGTCAGACCATCCTTGGCTCTGCCCCTTACAACTGGGAGATGTCGGGGAAATCATCGGATTTCTTCACACGTCAGTTTCCCCATCAATAAAATGGGGATAATTAAGTAGCTGCTACGACAGTGATTGTTGTGGTAAGGGCTCTTTCCTGCAGACTCAGCTTCCTGTAGAAACAGTGTGGCCTAAGCATCTGACATCGGCTCAGGCCACGATCTCGCAGTTTGTGGGTTTGAGCCCCGCATCGGACTCTGTGCTGATAGCCAGCTCAGAGCCTGGAGCCCGTTTTGGATTCTGTGTCTCCCTCTCTCTCTGACCCTCCCCTGCTCATGCTGTCTTTCTCTCAAAAATAAATAAAACATTAAAAAATTCAAAAAAAAAAAAAAAAAAAGAAACAGTGTGACCTAGTGACCACCCCCGTCCTTAGCGCCCTGCACCTCTGGCAAATGTCCAAAAGCTGCCAGGCAATCAGGAGAGGGCTCCCAAATGCAGGGCTTAAAATTCCTCTACTTTTTATGACCTTCTTTGCTTAAAATGTGTGTTTATGGGGAAACAGTGAGTATACAGGCCTAAAGGGCAACAAACAGGAGACGGGCCGCTGCTTGGCCAGCACCTACCATTCCGCCTGTCCAGGGAGGGTCCAGGCTCTGTGGAAACCCATCACCCCTTCTCCTTCCCTTTCTCATAGTATTATGATGATACATTCCCCTCCTCGAAGGAGCAGATGGCCTTTGAGAAAAATGTCTTCAACAAGACCAGCCGGACTGACAGTAAGTGTCCGCCTCTTCCTTGCCCAGAACTCTCAGATGCATATTGCTGTCCTCTCCATCTGTACACATCTGTCCCTGTCGGCCAGAAGTACCCATAGGCTATCCCCTCTTTTTCAGAGGTTCTTTTTCCTCTCCTTCCCAGCTGTTCCTCTCTCCCTTCCTCTAGGGAACTTCACTCCCAATCCCACTCTTACCCCCACCCCCACCCCCCACCACCTAACACACCAAGCCTTTCCTCTCAGCAGAAGAGGCCAATGGCATTGTGTGTTCCCCGCCAGCCTGGGGCTGGAACGAGGCATTGCACATGGTGGGAGCGGGGGGGCTGAAGGTCGACCCTGCGCTGGGTTTGTTGACTCCTCAGAATGAGGCAGTCTCTAGAAATAAAGTAGAGCCTGGAGGAAAGGACACAGCAATCTGGTGGTAGCGTCCCTAGCGCTAGTCTTGTCAAGGGCTCCTTGGAAAGAGGAGGAAGAAGGGGGAGACCAGCAGAGCTGGAAATCAGGACGAGGGACCCAGCAGAGGTGGCCAGACCTGAAAGCCCCCTCCACTTCCAGGTGAGATTGCATTTTTCGGGGGCATGACCATCGTCTACAAGAGCAGCATTGACCTCTTCCTGTACGTGGTGGGCTCCTCTCACGAGAATGAGGTGAATTCAGGAGGTTGGGGTGACAAGGAGGGTCTGTCTATGGCTTGGGTTCTGGGGTAGAAGCTGGGTTCTGGTGCCCCTCCTTCTAGGCTCTAAGGGGGTGGGGAGTGGCCAGAATGGTTCTTTCTGGGATGGTACATATCCCCGATGCCTCTTAGTGTCCTTGGGAACCAGAAATGAAGGCCTCTGCAGGAAGTGTTTGCTTCTTCCTTAAATATCACTAGGGAAGGGTACACTCAGTGTCCCACAGTGGGGCACCCCAGTGCTTTTCAGCCCATGCACAAGGAGGCACGCCCCTGAGGTCAAGCTGCACTCAAGTCTCCAGCCCCGTCCTCTATGGATGAGACAATTGGCCACACAGGCAGGCTCTGGATTCTCCTTTTGACCTTCTTGACCTCAAGCTCTCTTGTTTTCCTCCTCCCATCTCTACCCATCCTCAGCTGATGCTCATGTCGGTCCTCACCTGCCTGTTTGAGTCCCTGAACCATGTGTTAAGGTGAGTGAGGTCCTCTGCCCTTCAAGGCCTTTGTCTCCCAGGCCTTTATACATCACAGAGGCAGGGCCCTTCCTCTTCTCCTGAAGTCCCCAAAAGACTAAGACTGGAGCCAGAGCACCCTCCTCCAGGGCCCCTGCCCTTGACGGGACCACTGTGGTATCACCTAGAGCAGAGCCACAGGAGGGCATGGCCAGAGAATGAGGTGCAGAGAAGCTGGGTGATGTGCGTGAGGTTGCCATCTGTTTATATCAGAACAGAGACCCAAACTCCATTTCGTCGTGTTGTGTTTTTTTTTTTCCTTGAAGCCAAGATGGTTTTCACTGCACCCCCATTCAGTTACCTGATATCTAGCCCAGTGAACATGGCCCGGGCAAACCAAACCAGGATAATCCAAAAATAAATGTCTACAGTCAAGACAATTAACCATAGTATGGCGGTAGCATCTAACCTAGCTATGAAGTGCATTAGGGGTCACTCGGTGGGAGCAGTGTCGATGCACTGGGCAAAGGAGGGCCTAAGGATGCAGACGTGTCCCCTGCTCAGGAATCCCTTGCAGAGGCGCTCCCTCACTGCTCTTGACACTCTCCTTCCCAGTGCTTGTTGGGGGTGGGGTGAGGGGATGGTGGGGAGAGAGAGAGTCTGCCTCATCTAGGCAGAAACCCAGCTTCTCACAGCCACGTGCTGTGTCTGCCTTCAGGAAGAACGTGGAGAAGCGCTGGTTGCTGGAGAACATGGACGGAGCCTTCTTGGTGCTGGACGAGATCGTGGATGGAGGGTGAGGAGCGGGGCCAGGGCGGAGAGAAGGGGGGGCCGCTAAGGGACACTCACAGCGGGAGGTAGCTTTGAGGGTCAACAGCGCTAGACTGTACCAAGCACACTGTTGGCTCTCTGGCCATCCCCTGCCTCCCTCCCCCCGCAAACCTTGGCATATTGCCACTGCTCCCGTCCTCCCACCCACTCATGAGGATGGAGGTTGATTTCAATGTTAGCCAAAGTCAAGCAAGGAAGAAAGTAATCAGATGCTGAACTATGGCAGACTGTTGCATAGGCAGGGTTTGGGGGAATGGTTTGGTCTCCAGTGCCCAGAAGAAAAGGGCAGCACAGGCCCCTGCCCGCTCTGGGAGCTCCCCAGTCTGCTCCCTACTGCCTCCATACCTCCCACCCTCAGAGCTCCATCCTAACCTCTGCTAGATGCGGGACGTGGGCCCGTTGCTCATCCTGCCTCAGCCTTTCTTTCCTCATCTTTCCGATGGGGACTGACTACCTACCTCATGGGGTGTGGGGATTAAATGAGGTGAGGCAGGCGACACTCATGGCCCTCGTTCAATAAACTGCTATGCAGCCACTATGCTTAGGAAGCCGGGAGCTCATACGAGACGGGTTGATTAGTGAATTTCCATGGGAGGTGATATTGAGGGAGAAAAGGAAGTTCTGGCTGTGGGGCAAAGGATAATAGAGACCAATCACCTTAAACCCATGCCTCTTTCATAACATCCATTTTAGAGATGAGGAAACAGAGGTTCAGAGATTCAAGTGACCTCTCCAAGGTTCATGGCGAGGGAGCAGCAAGGCCAAGATCAAACACCTACATACATGGTTCCAGAGACTGTGCTCTTTCCGTGACACTGTCCCCCACACACCCTGGAAGATGGGGTACTGTGGGATTTCTTTCTCCTTCCCTCCTCCTTCCCTTTGTCGACTGCCTGTTGAGGCAAGGCCCTGTGCTAATTGCCGGAACCCCGAAGTGAGTGGGATACGACCAGGCTTTGTGGGATCAGAAGTATATGCAATTTGGTGGAAACTCTTTAAGGAATATAACCACACACACACACACACACACACACACACTATTACAGATATAAAAGTGCAGGGCCTTGGAGGGGCGCCTGGGTGGCTTAGTCAGTTAAGCGTCCGACTTTCGCTTAGGTCATGATCTCGCAGCTCGTGGGTTCGAGCCCCGCGTCGGGCTCTGTGCTGACTGTCAGCTCGGAGTCTGGAGCCTGTTTCAGTCTGTGACTCCCTCTCTCTGACCCTCCCCTGCTCACGCTGTCTCTCTCTCTCTCTCCTAGAAATAAATAAAACATAAATAAAATTTTAAAAAAAGTGCAGGGCCTTGGAAAAGCCCTTGGCAAGGAGGATGTAAGCTTTATATGCCTCTAGATCTCTGAGCACCCCCCTGAGGAAATCAGTTTCCCTCCAAGGAAAATCAGGGAGGTGTCAGTTAAGACAGTGCCGGAACTGGGGGTGTTTCTGTATTTTTTAAAAATGTTCATTTATTTTTGAGAGACAGAGTGCAAGTGGGGGAGGGACAGAGAGAGGGGGAGACAGAGAATTCAAAGCAGGCTCCAGCCTCCAAGTTGTCAGCACAGAGCCTGATGCAGGGCTTGAACTCACTAACCGCAAGTTCATGACCTGAGCCAAAGTCGGACACTTGACCGACTGAGCCACCCAGGCGCCCTGACATGTCTTATGGGTGAGAGGATCTCTGGTAAGGGGCTGCCAGGTGCCCCAGTGATAGGACCTGAAAGAGGCTCTTCGAGAAGTGCCTGTTCACTTCCCTGGGACTGGTCTGAGAGAAAAACTCAGCTTCTGCATTGGAGGAGCCTCTGAGTAAAGGGGAGCACTCAGTCAGTCCCACGGCCTCTGTCCCACCCACAGTGCCCAGCCCTCACACCCGCACCCTGAAGCATACTCACAACAGCTTCATAGCGCCCCCTCTGTATCGTGCAAGACTGACTGCTGGCTGAGAAAAGCCTTGAAACTTGGGTCTGTCGAAACGGAAGACAGATTCTTATTTTAAGTGTTTCACTTCTTTCATGTGCAGTATGGCCCTGTGAGGTAGAATAATAGTGAAACAAGGTGGGATGACCAGGGGGCCTCCCTTCCTTCATCGCATCTGAATCCATCCCTAGACCCAGAATGCGAATCGAACTTTCAAGGGCTCCAAGTTTTTCAGTCTCTGTTTTTGACCCTCTGATCATTCTAGACTGGACTGCCCTCACCCCATTTCAAAACTTTTGCCCAGGGCCGCCTGGGTGGCTCAATCAGTTAAGCGTCCGACTTGGGCTCAGGTCATGATCTCACAGGTCGTGGCTTCGAGCCCCGCCTCGGGCTCTGTGCTGACAGCTCAGAGCCTGGAGCCTGTTTCGGATTCTGTGTCTCCCTCTCTCTCTGACCCTCCTGCTCATGCTGTCTCTCTCTCTCTCTGTCAGAAATAAATAAAACATTAAAAAAAAAAAAAACTTTTGCCCAGTGACAAGTGTGTGACCACCAGGTTTGGTGTGGAGAGGAATCAAAGCTGAGGGCTGTCCATAGTGAGTGAGAGTTCTGGCTGAGGAATATCAGAGGAGGGGACCCAGGAGGGGGGCTGCTGCAGGATGCAGTAAGGGCGGGTCAAAGAAGGGGGAGGCTTAGCAGGGAGAAGCAGCAGAGGGGAGTGTTGTGGCATTGATTTTCCTCCTGGTTTCTCATCCTGTAGCGTGATTCTGGAGAGCGACCCCCAGCAAGTGATCCAGAAGGTGAATTTTAGGGTAAGAATCTTCCTGCATGCCCCTCACTCCCATCTCCTCCAGGCTGCCCTTCCCACCCTCCCCACCCCCTCCCTCCTGGTGTGGGCGGGATGCTAGGAACCCAGGCTTCGCCTGCAGAAGCAACTACTGGGTTGATGCACTTGTGGCAGGTTGGGGGGGGGGGTGACAGTTAGTACAAGAGATCTCCTGCCCTTCCCCCTTTAGAATTCCCAAGTACCTCACCATCCTCCCCAGTCACCATCCTCCCCAGTGGGAAGTACGTACAGACTGTGGAAAGAAAGAAATTCACCAAAAGGCCCCAGATGGCTGCTATGGCCTTGAGTTTGGAGAGTGGGGGGTACAGATAAACCCTCCCTGCCTAGTTTGGCTTCTCAAGTCTGGATGAAACCTTTTCTCCCATCTTTATTCCCCTTCATGCCCTTGCTCTCCATGCACCCATTGACGGGGTCTTGGCTTTCAAGCGGTAGGCTGGGGCGTAGTACAGGTGCACTTCTGGACTTGCTAACCACTGCACTGCCCCACCACCCCCTCCAAAGCCCCTTTCCTTCACCTCTCTTTCTTTACCCAGTGGCCTCCCCTGGCCTTGACCACCCTCTGATGTTGCTTCCCCACAGGCAGATGACAGCAGCCTGACTGAACAGAGTGTGGCCCAGGTAGGCCCCCGTCGTCTGCCTTGACTAGAAATGGGATGGAGGGAGGAGACCAGAACCTCCCGGGGTGTGGGGGACCCAGTGACTATCGAGGCTGAGAAGTCAGGGGTGCAGGAGGGAAGGGATGAGGCAGTGGCAGGCCATCTCTTGGAGAGAGTCCCTGGAGGCTTCCGCAGTCTCCAAGATGGTGCAGAGCTGGGTCTTAATAAATGACGCATGCCTCACCAGCAGCCCACCTCATCTCCTGGCTTGGTGGCCTTGGCTGAAAACCCAGAGTAAGCAACCGCCCTGGAGATGACCGGGTCACTTGTCCCGCAAAGCATTCTGGGGACTTGTGGGCCCCTGATGCTCCCCCCAAACCTGGAAGGGGTAGCAAATAGTTTTCCTCCAGCCCCTCACCCCTTGCTGTTTAGGGTTCCTGCTGGCGTTGTTAAGGGACCCTCAAATCCGTGACAGGATCTAACCAACTCCACTCACCACTTGCCACCTTGCCCCTGCATGACCTGGCTGTGAGAAAGTCCGTCCCAGCCAGTCTCCTGCATGGTCCTGTCTGGGAATGCATGTGCGCCAGGACTCAGGTTCCTGGATCCATGGCCCGACTGGTTCCGCAGCTGCGCAAACTTCCTGCCTGTCAGACTGACTGCTTGACCTCCATTCTGTCTGCCCACAGGTCTCTCTGCCCAGACTAATCCTGCTTCTATGGAACTTCCTGCCCTGGTGCACTAACTACCTCCTGCTGTGGTAGCTAAGGCGGAGATGGACCCAAGCCATCCCGTGTGGAGCCCCAGGTGTGGTGCCCACTTCCTTCACTGCCTTTGCTGCTCACGACGCTGCCTCTCCCTCTTCCCGGTCCCCCGTGCCTCCTCATGCCTTACTGGGAAGAGGAGCCACATGGCAGTTTTCAGGTCAGAAAGAGGCTGGAGAGCAACGAGCCGAGCAGTTGAGAACACAGGCGCTGGTGGGAGTCCTCCCAGGATGCATGATCCCCACCCCCACCTGCAAGCTGGGTGACCCACAGCAAGTTACTCAACCTCTCAGGGCCCCACATCATCGCAGGACACGCCTCCTAGAGTTATTATGAGAATTAGAAAAGCAAATGCTTGGAAACGCTCGTAGCCCACCCAGCTCCTATTTTTTTCTGACGAGGGAAAGTATGAAGACGCAGCACGTTAATGGAATTCTTGAGTGAAAAACCAAAGGAGTGGGAGGTGGTGAATGGGAGACGAAATGAGGGGAAAGTTAAGTTTCTTGCTGGGAGTACAGGAGAACCCCAGGGCCAGGCTGTCCCCGAGACGGGATGGAGACTGCAGGAGGAAGGGACATACAGTGTGGGAAGGGACTTCAGTGGAGGAGAATGAGGCCCGATGGCTGGAGGGATGACCTGAGGGACGTCTCTGGGGTCCCCACCATGTTGGCGCTGTGTGTGTGCACAGTTGTGTGGATTTGTCGCAGTCCCGGACTGAGGCTGTTTTCCTCGGCAGGATGTGAGACTGACCGCATCTGAGCGCAGGTGGCCCGTGGCGGCACCAGGCCAGCCCCCTTTGCCAGCTGTGCCACATCAGCGGCGGGTGGGGGTGGGGCGTTGGGGACATGCTGCCCGCTGAGACCAGAGTTAGGGGGTTTGCTGAGGTGTCTGGGCACAGGAAGTGTCTGGCCTGGGCCTAGCCTCTGCCTAGACGTGGCACTCTGGGCAGGCGCTCGCCTGGCGTGGCACGGGGGAGACGGGGCCTGCTGCCACACCCAGGGCGGCAGATGCGGGAACAGTGGAGGGCTGGGCAGGCCTGGGCCTAGGCCGGGAGCTGGCTGCAGCCAGTCTGGACGGCTCTGTGGCTGGCCCAGCCCCACTTAGGCCTGGCAGAGATGAGCTGCTGCCACCTAGTGACAGAGGGTCACCGGGACACTTAGGAAAAGTGGGCTTGTAGACCTGGCCCTCACTGAAGCGAATTCTGCAGCGCTTGATATTCCCCCCGCCCCCCCAAGTCTTTCAACCTTTTTCCCTATCCCCCAGGTTCTCCAGTCTGCCAAGGAACAAATTAAATGGTCGTTACTGAAATGAAGGCTGTGCATTCAGGGCTTCCTGCCCCCGGAGCATTTCCTCAATCCTGTCAAAACCTGAAAGACCTTTGGAGAGAGGAGAGACCTCTCTATACCCCGAGGCCCTCCCAGAACTGACTCCTGAGGTCTCTGGCCAGGGACTCTGAGATGCAAAGATTTGGCTTCATTAGTGACTCACCCTTCTCACTGCCCTGGCCTGCCCTTCGGGCCATGAGAACCAGCTGAGCAGCCTTAACTCAGACCTTAGGCATCCTTGGCCCCAGAGCCCTAATAAACCTGCTTTGTCCTCTGCCAATGGCCTCCTCGTCTCTGGGCCTGAGAAGTGTGTTTACGTTCTGATACGGGCTCCTGCACTCCCTGGGCCTCATCTTCAGGATGCCCAGTACCAGGGTGCCCCGCCGTATCCCTCAAGTCCTATGATCGGGGAGGGGGTGGGTCGAGGGAAAGGGGACGATTTATCCTCCTGAGGGGGTGTGACACGGATACCACGGAGCCCCATGTGTGATGAGAAGAGCCAGATAGGATTGTGTGACACGGTAAAAAGTAATAACGGGTGATAACGGCGCTCATTCGGGGGAAAGAAGACAAAAGATGGTACCCCTGTATGGCGCATACCTCCGGGAACAAGAGAGCTAAAGATGGTACACACATAGTGACCCTTTTGGGGATTCTTTACGTCATTTTTTCCATTCCCGGCTTCCAAAAGGGAAGGGCGTAAGGCTTCCTCTAGACAAACTGAGAAACAACACGCCCGTTTTTCTTGGCTTGACCGGTACAGCGGAATTCCTAGGCTAGCGTACATCCTCCCTGCAAGTTTGCCATGGCTGGGCCTGGAGGCTGGCGGCGAGGAAGCATCAGCCAGCCCATTCTCTGCGTCTCTGTACCTAAGTCCTCTAGAGTGCTTCAGGGTCCGTCCCGGGACAGCGCAAGGCCCTGGCTACCTTTTTAAGAGCAGCCGCAGATCCACGCCCCGCCCAAATCCCGCCCCGGCCACGCCCAAATCCCCGCCCCGGCCCCGCCCCTCGCCGGCACGCTGCGCCGTGGGGAGCCCTAGGGCCGCATCCGCGATCCTACAGCGCCACCTGGAGGGAAAGGCGGGAAACGCTCTCCCTCCGGGTCCTGATGCCCTGACTAACCCCGCCTCCAGGGCGGGACCAACCCGACTCCTAAGTTCCTCCCAGGCCTCCAACACTGACAGCAGGGCGTTGCCCTAGCAACCAGCACGCTTGACCCGCCCTGCGAGTTCCCCGCCAGCTCCGGCGCACGAATTTCTGCCAGCCACTACAGTAAAAAGAGCAGCGAGCCTTGGATGTTAATAGAAGCTGTCCCTGCGGGTTACCACGTCCTACATTATGAAACACTCTAAGATTGGATATTTATAGTGGCCTTGACTACTTCTGTAATTAGAGAAAATGATAAAGATATAGTTATATAAACAAATACATTGTAAAGCACTGTGTGCATAACCCATTCCAGTAAATAATGCAAAAAGGTAACTCTGAAAGGGAAAAAAGAATATGCAGTTAAATGCTGTAGAGTTCAGGGGCCAGTGTGGCGACGGGAAGTAAGAAGTTCTCCACGAATACTTTGGCAATTATGCGGCCTCATCCGGTGCCCGGCTCCATCCACTCCCTCTAAACGACCGCAAGGTCGAGAGGGGCAAATTAGCTTCCTGGCAACCCGGTGGCGCCTGCCCAGACCCTGCAATTCCAGTTTTGCAGGGACTGGAATAGTTATGCCTGACACTTCACACAAACAGGCTCACCGAATTCCTGGGGACTATGAGATGCTATCCCCATTTTACGGAGGGGCAACACCGAGGCTCTGAAAGTTAAACTGTTTGCGGCAGTTTCCGCAAAGCCGGGCTCAAGAAGAACTGCTGGAGGGAGGTGGCTTTCCCGCGCCCCCTGACCTAGGGCCACACAGGGACTGTACTGGTTTAAGAGGAATGATTGGAGGGGGCATAGTAGCAGAGAGGTGACAAGAAAGGTGTCCTCGCCGGCTGCGACTAAGGGACTACGGGGAAGGGGGTTGCAACAAAGCAGCCGACCCACGCCCGCGGCGGGGAAAGGACAGCGCAGAGAAGGCAGCGGAAGCCGGGAAGTGCGGGCAGGGAGGGCGTGCTGCCCTTTCCCGGGGATCCCAAGTTTGCCGGCCGGGCCCTCTGGGAGCCGAGGCGGAGAGTCCGCTGCGTCCCCGGGCCCCTCGGCGCCCGCAGCCCCGCGGAGCCGCCTGAACGGCGGGCCTGGCGCTCTGCCTAGAGCTCTGCCCGCCGGCACCGCTTTCCCGCAGGTCGCTCATTAGCGCTGCCCCAGCCCGGAGCCGGCGGGCACAGAGGGGAGCGCGCAGCACCAGGCAGGCGGGCGCGCCGTCTGCCCTGGGCCCGGTTTCGGGAACGGCGGTCGGCGGTTCCCGGCGGGAGCGGCCGCGGAAGCCTTGCCTTCCCGTCTGTTCTCCTCCCCAGGGCCCCTTCCTGTCTGTTTGCTTCCCCCTCCACTTTGCCCTCTTGGGAGACCCAGCGGGTCTCGAGTATATACGGGGAAGGGGACTTCAGGGCGCTCCCTTTCTCCTGCAGAATGGGCACCGGGGCAAGTCAGAAACCGAGACTGTCTGGCTTGGGTGCAGACGAGAGGGCGCAGGCAGAAGCACTGGCCCCGGGACTCTGCTCGCAGGAGGAACCCTCGTCACACCTACACCGGGCTGGGAACACTGTATTGCCAGGCCTTCGGGCCCCTTTATACCACTCTGAGCTGGTCGCTCCAGTTCCCTCCACGCGCGCCCCCAGCTTTCTGGCCATTGGCTGGCAGGAAGGCGGAGCTGGTCGGATTGGCTTGCGTCCAGACAGTGACGGATGGCTCCCGGTCGGCCGGACGGCAGCGGGACAGAGCGTGCCGTCGCTGGGAGGCCCAGTTCGCCTACGGAGGAGCCAACCAGGCCTGGGGAGGGGCGGGGCATGAGCTAGAGAGACCCACCTAAGCGCACACTTTCTGCCCTCAATCTACCTTTGAAACTCTAGAGACAGAGAGAGAAAATCTTACCTCTGAATTTCTAGTAAATACCCCTTGAGCTCCAGAACCTGATGTAGGCAAAGTTGAAAATTCTACCCAAAGCAGGGTTGACACAACCCTACAGACCTCCCTTTCCCTCTAGACAGAGTCTTGTTCATTTAACAATATTCCTACATTATATTCACTCATTCATTCATTCATTCATTCTTTCATTCATTCAAGTGTTTGAGTGTTTGCCATGAGCCAGGTACTAGAGAAAGAAGAGAGGGAGACTGATTTAGAAGTGACTGACTCCAGATCTGGCAGTGGGGTCGGGGTGGAGGGCTGAAAGTAGAGAATGGTTTTGGGATCTATAAATACTAAATACTAAAACTGGAAAATATCCTAGATGAGGATCCAAAGAAATGAGAGCCGTTGTGAAACACATGTGGACTTTGATAAGAAGTGCACTACCGATGCAAAGTAGTAGCAGTAGTCGTCGTCATCGTCGTGCTAGTAAAATTCACTTTTGTTTGGAGTGAATTCTTTCAACAGACATTTGCTTACTGTCTGTTCTGAGCAGGTCACCTTGCTGGAAGGTGGTGGGAGCTTCTAACAAGAATTGGAAGACACAGCTCCTGATATGACAGGAAACAAAGTGACATATGCAGAAATTATAGATATTGACAGAGGAGATGGGGTGTTACACCATGGTTTTGTTCTGTCGAAAGAAGTCAGGGAAAGAGACGCTACAAAGTGGGTAATAAAATTTGTAAAGCAGAGAGCAGAGAATCGCTGGTTGAGGAGGTGCAGGTAGGCGAATGTAGCCGGAGAGGGTACACGCGCCTCTGTGAGGGGGCCTGGGGTGCGCTGAGACAGGAGGCTTCTGCCTACAGGTTGCTGCTGGATGGAGGTGAGTGTTGAATGCTATACGCTGAAGAGTCACGGCCACATACTGAGTTTACCACTACTCTGTACAGCCTACAAACACTATGGTCCTCAAAACAACCTAACAAGGTAGATACTGTTAGCCTTATCTTTACATCTGAGGGACCTGAGGGTTTGGGTAATTTGCCTCATGGGACAGAGATGAGATTTAAGCCCATGCTGGTCTGACTCTGTTGCCCATCGCTCTTTGCCCCGCCACAGAGCTAAGGAGCTTGGCTTATATTCTGAAGGCTATCGGGCGCCCTTGAAGATTTTCAAGAAGTTAAGTGACGTCAACTCTGTGTTCTGAGCAAGGAACTCTCCCAGCGATGTGAAATGTGGTTTGAAGAGGCAAATAAGAACTTAGGGTCAGCGTATGACTCACAGAACGCAGTCATTTCCATAACGCTCACTTCTCATTCTTTACCTAAAACAGTGCCTCCCCAGCTTGGCTGAGAATCTTGTCACCAAAGAGCTTGTGGAAGTCAAGTTCCATTCAGAGTTTGAGTCAGAATTTGAAGCGGTGCTTTTGAATTAATTCAGATAATCCTAGGTAATCATCCCAAAAGAGAGCTTCCAAAAGAGACCACTTTGTTAAGGGCAATGGTTTGGATATTCAGGTCCTAAAATATATGCTACAAAGTAATAAATTCACAGTGTAGCTTATATATTTATTTGGTACTCTCTTATCATCCTCACCTATTCCCAGTCTGAAAACACACACACACACACACACACACACACACACACACAGAAAAAAAAAAAAAATACCCAGAGCGACCTGATTCTCTTTGACCAGACCAGCAGACTCACCTGATTCTTTAAAAAATTTTTTAAACATTTATTTATTTTTTAGAAAAAGAGAGCATGAGCAGGAGAGGGGCAGAGAGAGAGGGAGTCACAGAATCAGCAGCAGGCTGTAGGCTCTGAGCTGCCAGCACAGAGCCTGACATGAGGCTCGAACTCACAAGCAGTGAGATCATGACCTGAGCCGAAGTTGGATGCCCAACTGACTGAGCCACCTGGGTGCTCCCTCCCTTGATTTTTAAGGCGTTGAAGATTTGTATCTCATTCTCCTGGCTGCAATAAGTCCTCATCCAGGAAAACTTGAGGATACAAGAAAACTCTGAAAGTCATGGAGGCCATGCCCCTACCTCCAGGCAACAGCTCCTTAGTGACTGACAGGGGTTCCTGAGGTGGGTGTGTTGGGGACGCTTGGAGAAGATATGTAGAGACAAGGGCTTCACTGACAGAATGACTGGAGGAGACTGGCCTCAGGTGCTTTGGGTCCGGTGGGTTAGGGACCATCCCTACCACTCTGGAGGGTCCAGCCCTGGGTTCAAAAGGCTGGGGGTCTCCTGGAACAGTCTCTCCTAAGAGA